AGAGTGGATGAAAAAAGTGTGTTTATCTCTAAGTCTAAACTCAGGAGTACTGAAATATGGTCTACCTGCTAAAAGAAAGTGATCAGCTGGGAAACTGTGAAGGGACTGTGTGGAGCCCAAAGAGAATTAAAGTCCCCTACCAAACACTCATAGGTCTCAAACTTTGGAGAAAGCTTTCAGAAAAGAGCAAACCCAAAGATACTCCACATGCAATCAGCAGCAGCTTTTAAGGGAAATCTGAAGTGTCAGTATCTGTATCTGCTTCCATTATACATTTATGCATTATAAGCTATGACCCTAAAAGCGACATCTAAGGACCAGCTCGCACTGAGGGCGTTGAACAAATGAATAACAGGAAGCAAATAAGTCTCTAGTACAACTGGATAAAAAAAATACTTGAGTGTTCCTGGTACAGTCAGACCAGCAGGAAAAATGTTTTTCAGAGAACAAGTAGAACTTTGGGAGCAATCAACTCTAAAGTGCCTTATGCTTCTTAATTCCTGTGCAAACACTGCTGTAGAGGCAGAAGCACATTTCAAGAGTGTTAAGATGCTCAATTACATAATAACACATGACACAGCAACGAGGTTCCAGTTACCTTCTCTGCTATCATGCACAGTGCAAAAGTGATGACAGAGACCATGTTCCTAGCTTTCCTTCAGCACTTCCATTTCTCTTCCACCCACTCCTGCGACAGAAGCACACATCCAGTCTCCCACCGTGGTCTGCAACATTCCCCTGTGAGAACAAAGCGTATGCGGAAGGAGGATCTACATCAGGCGGTGAGTCATTGTGGCCTTACTGGCCAGACCAGCAAGGAACAGGCTGGCAGGTTCTGCAATCACTGTTTTCTCCTCAAACGCTTTTGCTCAGCGGTGTCTCATTGCATAAAGGTGGTGAGCACAGAACTATTTTTAAAAGGGGCTTTGCTCTCAGCGTAGTCACCAGGCTGTGGAAACGCTGCCATTTCCCGTGGCAGTCCGCAAATGCAGTCCTTCTGGAAGGCACTGATCAAATGACGCAAAGATCCGATCCTTTTTTCCTCTACTTGTCAAAAGGCCTAATCCCCTGTCTCAGAAGGGCTTTCTTCCTCCTGGCTGAGCAAGGCTTATTCCTCTGTGGAACTGGGAACTTCCTAGTGCCAGCTGATCACGGCAAGCAGGAGGAGTGAAGCTTGGTCATTTCTTGTGCAAGACAGTCAAGATTTCAAGCCCATTTTTTCCATCATCTGTTCATACACTGTCCATGCCATTGCTGCCATCAGAGTCCGCCTGAGGGCACGGGGCACACCACCTCGGAAAAAGCCAACCAACCCGAAGTCCTGCAACAGGAGATAAACAAACAGCAATCCATCATAATCTGCCTCTAGTGCTTTAATTTCTCATCATTTATTACATGGAACAGCACAGGACATATTTCAGCTCAGACCCAGATCAGTTTCTGAAAGACCCAGGATTAAATAGCATTTAATGTTTAGGAAGAACCTGTAGCACTGTGCAATTGCAGGGCTACCCAAGAAAGCAAGAAGAGCAGTGCATGGAGAAGGGAATGCCAGGATGGGAACAATGGATGGGGAAAGCCACACTCAAGCCCAACAAAGAGAAGGTGAGGGTATAACAGTTTCAAGACACTTCAGGAAAATGACTTGTCCTTGTTTTACAGCTTCATATTTACAAAAGTCACTTAGCTATTCTGTAAAAACTGAGATTTCTAAGTACTGACGTAAAAAAAAAATTCTGATATGAGAAAAATGTACCATGCACAAAAAACCCCATGCACAAATAAACAGATTTCTGTTTAGGAATAGAATTCAATATGGAAACAAAGCAAACCTGCGAAGATCTGCCCTTCTGAGGGCAGGACGAGAAAGGTGGGCTCTGAGTGTATCTCCATCCCATTCCTGGGATACGGATCTGGGCATTTATTTCTCTTTTAGTGTCCAAAGGGCACAGAATTGTTGTGTAGCTGGCTTATATCTGAAACTGGCATTTCATGCTACATACTAAAGAAACCCTTTGCCCCAGCGTGGTAATCACAGATGTGCCTACGCCAATAAACCACAGGAGGCAGCAGCTGTTAAGTACAGCTCCTCCAAGCCTACACACTAAGCTAAACTGAAATGAAGTTAAGATGAAATAATCTAAGTGCTTTCCATCACTACCAGTGTAAGAATCAATAAGTAACAGACAGAACTGAAGTGAAATCATTCACCAGCCTGAAACATGAAGCAGACCTATGTGGAGAGATGCTTGCTGGAATATGCCCACCTTTGTGCTCCGGTACTCTGAGCTTGCTCTCCAATTCCCCATCATCTGTAATTTTGTGAAAACAGATACAGGACTGAGGAACGGCAAGAATAATCATGGAGCAAGCTCACTGCCTTGCAATCCATTCAAGAGGAGCAAGAAACACATCTGAGTAGTGACAAGGGCCTCTCTAATTACAAGGAAAAGCAAGGAATGGACTGAAGCCTCTGACTGCTTTCGGACCATCAACCAGAGTACTTTCCAGTTATTACTGAAAAAGTCCGCACATAAACCAGTGACAAGAGATTCAGCCTCAGTCTCCCACAGCATGACCCACCTCAGCTTCTGAAAACGCTGACACTGATCAGCCTGACTGCAAGAGCACATCAAGCAGTCACATTTGTTCACCTCCTTTAAAAGACAACTTTCTCATCATAGCTGTGCTTTGGGCGAGGAGATCAGAAGTGAGGCTGTGATTGCGCGTATTAGCAGGGATTCACCTCACCTTGTAGATGAAGGCAATGGCCTGGCTTGTCCTGTGGTACTTTTTTGGGGACAGCTGCATGTGTGTTTTGATGACATCAGCAGGCTGTGTTGCCAGTGAGGCCAAGATTCCCGCAAAGATCCCACAGCCAAAATTCAGCAAGGGCATGAGCATTGGATCCAGCTGGTCTGCAACAGAGCAAAGGGAATGCACTCAGACACAAAACAGGCCAGGAATACTCATGCTGCATGAGTGAAAAGCTACTAAATGACTAAATCAGTGTCGGGGTCTAAGAGAAGTTAAAATCCATGCAGGGTAGAGAAACCTTTCAAGGGGAAAAGTGGCTACAAGTCAAAAGTTAGCACTATTAAAAAGCTTCAGTTGTTGGGGAACTGAATTTGACAGGAACCCAGAGAAGGAAAGATTGTGCAGGTGTTGCCCCAGCCAGTTCTAACATCAGAGAAACCCCGGGTTAGTGGAAACTGATCAGTATACAGGACAACCTGCAGCAGAAAGGACGGCTGAACACATCCTCTCTTTCAACTGTTCACTAACCCACCTTATGCGTCAGTCTTCCTAAAGACAATCAATCAGTTCAGGGCCAATTTCCATTTCTACACTGACCTGAGCTATAGGTCTACAGTTCTCGACAGGAAAATGTGAATGTCCCACCTAAAGCCCTACAAGAGACTAATTTAACTACTGAGGTAGAGGGCAATAAGCAGAGCATGCAGGCAGTCAACTGCAGGGGAAGATGCAACAAAAGAAACATCTCCCATTACAGCCTCCAATGTTCAGCCTTACCCTGAGGTGTGAAGTTTTTGGTCTGCGTGTAGAACATCAGGTAGATCCCAGAGAAGGGCGCATCCCGCAGCAGCGTTGCGGTGAGCCCGCTGAACATGCCACGAGCCCCTTCCGTCTGATAGATATTCTTCAGAGCTCCATATACACTCCCATAGCCAAATCTTCCACTCTGCACAGGTACACAATGGTCACTCACCCATGTGTCAGGCACAGGCCAAGGAGCCCTACACACACCCCAAGGCCACCCTGTCCAAACAATTGTTAGTATGCGCTCCATGTGATGACCGAGATGGCAGCACAGAGGACAGCCCAAGGCAAAAACTGGGTTCCGCCTACCTCAGCCTTTAAAACAATCCTTCAAGAAGGTAAAATAAGAAAGACGCTAAAATTACACATTGTATTCAACTGAAACTTAAAAATCTCAGGGTGAATTCTGTTTCATCTTATACTTCTTGCCTAAAAATCAGTGCATGGCTTTTCCTGCACAATGTGTGAACCAGGATGAAATCAGAACTACATTCCTGACTGTACTCAAGTGGCAGCAACCTTCTCCAGATGGAAGAATTTCTTTTTCATCATGAGGAAGGGGTGCGACATCATTAACAGGGAAGTCACACTCACCTCATATCGCGTCTTCACTACAGTCACTGGCAACATGCAAATCCCAGATACTGCACGTGCAGTGGCACCCAGAAAGACAGACTCCAGGGCTGTGGGTGAACGGTCCGCTAGAAACTTTTGCTTCATCATGTACAAAGTGCTGAAGTAAATCCCCACGCCAGGAATACATCTTGCAAAGGACTTCAGAAGAAACAGAAGCAGATGAAGAAATAAAAAGCACACATAAGACAAAATGTACTACAGAACATTTCAGAGACTGTTAAACTTGACAGGAAGCTTTGCACCAAAACAAAATCACTTTACTGATTTTTCCTCAGCTAATATGCTGAGAATACATCTTGCAAAGGACTTCAGAAGAAACAGAAGCAGATGAAGAAATAAAAAGCACACATAAGACAAAATGTACTACAGAACATTTCAGAGAGAACATTTCAGAGACTGTTAAACTTGACAGGAAGCTTTGCACCAAAACAAAATCACTTTACTGATTTTTCCTCAGCTAATATGCTGAGTAAAGAAGACAAGGTAAAAATCATTTACAGCACTGAGAGCCAATTGATTCAAATGATGCCAGGATTTCATGCATTCCTCAACTGCAGTTCTCTAGGAACAAAACATTCCAAAACAAAATGAGGTTGGTGCAGTTGCCAACCCACATTTGCTATGGTATTCAAGTGTTCAGCTGCTCAGGACTGCAAATCCAGTGACTGCTATGACCTAATCAGTGGAATTCACAACATTAACTCCTTAAAATGGGATTCAACCATCTAAATCACAGGGTTTCATTCATAATTGTACAAGAGCTGGCTATTTAAATCCAGTCCATACTTAGTAATAAATGGCAAGTTTATTTATGTATTTATTTTTAGAAGTCAGGGTTAAAACAGCCACTTACTGGAGAGACACCTTTCCAGAGCCCCAGAAGACTCTCAGTACGAACAACCCTAAAGAGCAGCGTCACCATCCCAGCACGACCAGACCTGAAAGGAAGACAAGACAGGAACTGCAGAGGTGATCCGCTTATACTCTCTGGCAGACGTACTCTGCAGCCACCCCCTTTCATTCGTATCTCTGTGCATTACCCCAGCACCCTGGAGGTGCTCCTTCTAGACTCAGCCTGCTTTCCTCAGTCACTCCAGGGCTTCTCTGTCACCTTCTGCTTTTCCACCACTTGTAACACGTTAGAGGCCTCTCTCATTAGCGTCTTTAGTTGCTCACTCCCTTTGTTAGCAGCAGCAGGCAAATGGGAACAGCTGCACATGGACAGGTTATGGGGCAACCACACATGATTTTTCAGGCAGAGGACACCCTATGGTGTCCGCTCCAGTTGTTCTGGTTTCAGCTGGGATAGAGTTAATTTTCTTCCTGGCAGCTGGTACAGTGCTGTGTTTTGGATTTAGGATGAGAATAATGTTGATAACACACCGATGTTTTAGTTGTTGCTAAGTAGTGCTTACAATAGTCAAGGACTTTTCAGCTTCCCATGCTCTACCAACTGAGCAGGCTGGAGGTGCACAAGAAGCTGGGAGGGGGCACAGCCAGGACAGCTGACCCAAACTGGCCAAAGGGACATTCCATACCATGTGATGTCATGCTCAGCATATAAACTGGGGGAAAGCTGGCCGGGGGGCCGCTGCCTGGGCATCCATCAGCAGGTGGTGAGCAATTGCATTGCGCATCACTTGCTTTGTATATTCTTTGTATTATTACTATTATTAGTAGTAGTATTAGTATTATATTTTATTTCAATTATTAAACCGTTTTTATCTCAACCCATGAGTTTTCTCACTTTTACTCTTCTGATTTTCTCCCCCCTCCCACCAGGGGGAAGGGAGTGAGCGAGCAGCTGTGTGGTGCTCAGTTGCCAACTGAGGTTAAACCACGACACCAGCAAACACCAGTCTCTCAGATGCATACAGACAAATGCTCTGGTTACATGTTATTAAAGTAGTCTTCACAAGAGCAGCCATTTTCTCTCTTTCAGAGCAAAATATCAATCCTTCTTCATGCTATAAAACCATACCTCCTATTTCAGAAAGACCCTCAGTATCTGAATTACAACCCTGAACTCCAAGCCCCAGCCAGCAAATCAGGCAGAAGCCTACGGTGGAGCACCCCCACAACCCCCATGCATACACATCCCTACTCTCTCACCCATTCACAGCAGGCTGCAGAGTTTGCAGGCGGGTTTTCAGCAGGTCAAGGGGTTGGAAGAGGAGTGTGGAGCACGTCCCACTGATGGAGCCACACACGAAGGCCTTTAGGACTGGATGCATCTGGAAAAGGAAGAAGAGGACTTTAAGTAGCCATTTAATTAAGAATGGCACATGAGAAAATATAGCAGCTGATATGCCGCTTGTTATAGAAAAGGAAGACTAGCTAAGGATCGCTGCTCAGGGCACAGGAAGCTTTTTCAGATCTTTTCAGAGCCTGATCAAGTTTTATTTGTGGTTTTTGATCCTTCTGCCTTTCCTGGGAGATTGTTCCAGAATCTCCTTGCAATTCGGTGGTTGTAAAGAGTTTTCCGAACAACAAATGTATTAGCAGCCATTTGGTATCCATTTGCCACGTTAAAGGAACGGGGTGCCCCCTTCCCACCAACTACCTGTTGCCGTAGTCCCAATCCATCCACCTCTGCTCGGCACCCTGCTCGCAGCGCGTCCAACCCTTCCTCCCCATTGCACACCAAGGTCCCCCACTGCCACGAGCACTAGCGGAGCTCTCCCTTAAAGCCGCCCACACCCAGCTCAAACACACCCAAAGCACAGCACGGCCTGCTCAGCTAAGGTCTGGTTTTCCTATCCACACCGGCTGCCACCTCTCAGCACTTCTTGGGTGATAAGGCAGGAGGCACAAACCACACAACAAAGTGGAAAATTTTTTATTAAAATACATAATGGTGTTTTGTTAACGAAGAACGAGTTTCTACACCCCTTGGAGTAGAATCACGTCAGAGAAGATTTTTGCAGCACAGCGGTTTGTGGAGGGGCACACTCAAAAGCCACTAAGGTGTCCTTCGCAGTGAGCTGCACACGGCTGCCTTCGCCGACTTTCAGACCCCTC